GCAGTGGGGTTGCTGGTGTGGTTCGGAAAGAGATCTCCAGAGCGGACGGCTTGTCACTCCTAGAGGGAGAAAGAGAGATTGTGATGAGAGAGTTGCAGCTGTCCCCATGCTTGTCTGTGGATATTCAAATTGGGGTGATGTAATTTGTGGAGTACAGCAGGGCTCTGTTTTAGGACGCTCCTAATTTACATCAGTCTCTCACCTGGGTGTCACGTGTTACTCGATGACGGTCATCTCTCCACAGATGTTCTCCTTTATGATCTACAGAGAAAGAGAGATGGGGCTCATGAATAGGGGCTCACAACACTCACAGCTCTACACTCATTAAGCTGTTTCCACTAACAGCTGTGGACTCGTGCTAATGTGGGTTCAGATTATTCTTGAAGATGATCTCAGCAGATATTTTGTACATCTCCCACCCTTTCCCCCCTTGTTAGTTCCTCTCTCTGACCGCACGAGTGTGTGGACGTTGGGTGCTCTCTATAAAAAGGGGGGCCGTGGCAGCTGGGGGGGTGTAATCACATGGTTGGGACAGCTGGGGCAGTGGTGCCGACCTTCTTGCGGTCCTTGGGTTTCTCGAAGTCGTGCAGGCACCACAGCATCTTGGTCAGCGCAGCTTCGGGGGTGATTTCAAAGGCAGACAGCACCCCGGCATCTCTCAGACCCTGAGACAGAGAGAGAGAAGGATTCACAGACACTGAACTCACTTTACCATTGTGTGATAGAGGACCAGGATCTGTAACACAGACACACAAAGAGACAGAGAGCCCCGCAAGGGTAAGGAAAAGATCAGTACGCAGAAAAGTGGACAGTAATGGGCCAAGACACTGCATATGCCCGTAAAAATGGGTGTAGATACTGCTTAAAGCAGTACATGCACACAGCTTGTGAGGCATAGTGGTCCTTTTCTACTCCTGAAATCCCAGTAGTTGCCACTAGAGCACACAGGAGAACCAAAAACCACGTCCCACTTCCAGTACTTTGACAGCCTTGTGTGAATCCAGCAGTAGTGAGATGACTGGCAGCTGCGCCTCTGGATAGAGGATGCTATAAAAGATGCTCACATGGGCACTTCATGTGTTCACTATAGAACCACACCTAGGGGTAGAGCGAGAGACAGGTGTAATTCTCCTTTTTCTCGCTCGCTTGGGCCGTAAGATACTGCCCGGCAAATTATTGAAAACCACCTTAAAACAAGCGCAAGAAGATCCCTGACTCGGTTGTCTATCTCTAAGCAGAGGTATCGAAAGAAGACTGTTAAGGGTGCAGCCCTGTCTTCTCCCCAGTCGAACGGTGTTCTGGTGTTCTGTCCATAGAAAGAAGGTGAACACAGCCCTTGTACAGATGCTGTTTGACAGAGTACATGAGAGAGAGTCTTTTTGGGCCAAACAAGTGCATCAGGTAACAGAAAATAACATACTGTAAGAGGGGTGTGTAGAGAAAGAAGAGTAACAAATGCTTCCCAGTGTGTTATCCAGTACCTGGGCAGTGCAGTAGGTGACAAAAATTTTTTTATTTCTTTCTGTCTTAAAACCGATTTCCTCAGAGCTACCAGAAAGCGTCGGAACACGTGCGTGCTGGGTTTTTTTGTCATTTTTTAATTGACCACGTAGCAAAGCGAGACAAGTGACTGAAAACAGTCACAAACACAGAATAAACTTAATTCTTCCAGTGAGTAGAGTTTTGATCCATGCATTATCAGAAAGCCCACTAATCCTGTTAGAAATCACAGCTATGTGGAAAATTAACTTGGAATGACACGGAGTGAGGTAGGGCGATGTCACAGGTGGATGCCATTTTATCGTAGGATGCGTGCAATTTAGAGACCCCAGTTCACCTATTTCACATGTCTTCTGTGCTGCCTGCTGTAACTGCATCTGACTGCAGTGTCTGATTGTGTGTGGTGAGTCAGAATACTTCCTTCAGGTACCTGCTGATGCGAACAGACTGTTCCAGGCTCCCAGACAGATCACTTGAGGTGAAGGCTCCTGCCCTGATGCAGATTGAGTTCTGTGATCCAACCTGACGTCTCTGGCTACAGCAGAGAACTGGCAGGCCACACTGTCAAGCTGCAAACTGGAGCTCAGTGCCTCTGGGGATTCTGGTTTGTGTTCGGGTGGTTTGGGATGGGTCAGACAAGGTCCTTCAGGCAGCACAACAACCTCTCAGCCAACTGGAGACGAACCTGCTTCTCAGGGTTGGGAAGTTTGTGATGGGCTACAAGATGACCAGACCGATGTTGGGTGGGTAGTGGGAGTCTGTACACTTCCCCAGTCTCCCAGGTTTTGAGTAAAGGTAGCATGAATTATCCTTGACAGGATAGCACCAGAAGCCCATCTCCACTTCCTCCTCTGTAACAGCCTTCAGACCTGTGACTGGTAGACCTCCTTGATCCTTGATTTTACACTGTCCATGATACTTTGGACCATAATGCCCTGGCTTTAAACCTGCTATGTTTCCAATCACTGGTGCTGGACTGCCTTTGCCTGCAGAACTCTCTGCCTGTTCCCCCAGCCTGCAATGAACCTCAAGTCTGCTACCTGCTCAGCCTCCCTGTGTGTGCAATTCCTGCCATTTCTCGGATTCTCTCAGCTGTCTCGCCCAGCGTGTGGATTCACCTTCCAAAAACATGCCACTGTTTATTCCCCCAGAAGCAGCTGGATACAACATCACCTCGGAGGCCTTCTTGACATGTTGCTGGTTCTTACGTCTGATCCAAGATGACGTGAAAAACCAGGCGTGATGGCTGATTCCAAATCCAACAGGAACATAGGGAATAATAGGGAAACAATCAGTTAGAAAAACAATTCAGACTGCGTTCTACTGTATCCTTTTTGCTCAGGACACTCATGGACACTGTGGTCCATTAAAATTTGACTGCTCCCAACAGTGTGAGCATCAGGTAGTATTGCTCATCATCACACCTACTCCAGATACCGAGCAACTTGGTTAAGCTGAGGGGGGAGATTTAGGGAGATTTCAAGGAGTTGCATCCTTTGATACACTATGCACTCTAAAAAGGCGCTACAACTACTTAGTGCCCTGCATCGGATGTCACATTATGAACCAACCAGCGTTTTGGTAGCTGTCTCCGATCTCCGACTGCTGCTGTGCTTTTCCAATCACACCATCAGCAGGGCAACTCTCTGCCCCATTTCCAGAGTAGCCCCAGCACAAGATGAACTCTATCCAAGGAAAGCTGTCTCATCAAAACCCTGTCAGTGTCTAAAATAGATGCAGGTGGTGACGTTGTGCTTCCCTTTTCCTGCTTAAACAATGATCTGGTGCTATTTGCTTTGCTAGCCATTGGTTAGACTCCCTCCCTTGCGGCACATCGATAACGATGATAGCCCAAAGAATGGGGAGAGTCCCAGATACTTGCCAGGGTGAAAACGGGACAACAGAATGTCTAAACGCCACATGAAAAATTGTGCTGAAGCAAAGTCTATCAACACACATTCAAGGTGACACACTATCACAACTGACTGTACTGTAGACACTACTAGTGTCACTGCTGTCCATCTCCTCTCACACTCACCCTGAGCTCACCAGCACACACAGTTGATTAACACTGTTAGTACACAATATACATACAGTTAGTGTTAGTGCTGCTGGTCATCTTCTCCTCTATGGATCTGAAATGAGCACACTCACATTGTGCACACCTGAACTTGAAACACGTGATGGACAATTGCGCGTAGCCCTGTCAACAATAAAGCTGATGGCAGTGGTTGTGCATGTTTCTGGGATGTTTCTGGGATGAAGCGTGTGATGTAACGCAGACCATGGCACTCAATCAACAATCAACAGATGTGCTTAAATCAGCCATTTTTGGAAAGTCGGGTGTACCTAACCAGACGGTTAATACCGTTTCTGAGGAATCTGTTGTCGTTAGTTTGCGATTCCCTGTGGTAGGGCTCAAATCGATTGACAAGACAAACGAGGTGACACATGAATCACACCAATCTTGGTATTATGGGATGCATGACTTTTTCCCCAGTGTTTCCTCACTATTTCGGATTGTGTTGTCCGCATAGGGTCCGGAAAGAACTGTTCCATTACAATGGGAGACTTCAATTTTCCTCACGCGCATTTAGAAGAACCATCAGAGTTGTTAGCAGCCGAGACCGAAATTCTCCACACGGCTTTCAGCTGTTCCCTCACTCAGTCTGTCAGAGCCCCCGAAGGAGGGAATGAGGTGAAGGAGTGTGATGAAGAAGGGATATCACAAAGGCCAAGGGACAGAATGGAAGCTTGCCATAATACTGCAATGGAAGCTACAATATATACAATAATATATGCAATATATAGCTACAGTATTTATATGAGACCTAATACTTCTTACTGATGTTTCATTTAACAAGCTGTTTTTTGCTCTTGCAAACTGGGCCCTTGTAAAGCATCGCAGAGATTCTTCCTTTACCTGATGATAACTTTACTTTTATTTATCACTATTTTTTATTACACTTCAACTTTTTTTATAACACTTGGCTGCTGTGTGTAAACTGCATACGGTAAAGGGCTAGTACCTCATGTTTATGCATTCACTTCCGACTGTAAGGGTGTAACCGCTGCACTGTAAATGAGCAGTAGGGTGATTGTTTTCCTACCTTTTGTTTATGCATCTGCTAATGACCTTAAGCACTGGAATAACGAGCCAGGGATGTTACTGTTTTCAGACTGAGATTCCATGCTGCACTGTTTTAAGATGAAGTGTGGATGCTTAAGGGAATTAGTCTGATTTTTTTTTTTTAGTTCTGGCACCAATCACGGATGATAAGGCGAGAGGTGATGAGACCTAATTCTCTTTCTAAGAGTTTTCCTGCAATGCATGACATAACGAGAGAGCACTGTATTGCTGCATTGAAGGAACACGAAAGGGTGAAGTCAAGTATTTCAGTAAGAAAAATGTGCAATTCGAAATAATGAAAAGGAAATAAATAATGCCCTTATTATAAGGTATATTTTCTTTTTAACCAAGAAAGAAAACAACAACAGGCCAAAGAAAGACAAAGGTCTGTATTAAGTTGTATTAGCAAAGAAAGGAATGCATACAAAACTATAGTTTTAAATCTGATATACAGATAGACAGAGTCATTGGTTTAATAACTAATGGTTTTGTCCCCACTGAGGGCAGGAAAACCAGCAAGGATGAAATAAGGCTTTTTTCTTCCTGGTGAGAAAAGCTACAGCTCATTTTACAGTAGTAAAAACCCAGCAGACTCACACAGTGGGGAGACAGACATTTAAGAGAAATGCAGACAAACGTCTGTAGAGCACTTGCATTCGTCAGTCTGAAGCCGTTCTTCTGAGGATTAAGCACATGATAATAGGATGGGAGATCACAGAATATCCTTTAATATTAAAGAAAAAAAAGGATAGGGGACACACTGAGTGAAGAAAACACAACAGTGTGGGAGATTGTGCTGGCTTTGGGAGACAGGCGTTGACAGGGAATCTGATGATAATGAACAGACACAGCAGGACAGGAGGGAGAAGGTGACATGATCAATCCAGACTGCACTAGGCCAGTTCATTGGAAACGTTAACGACAGCCGGTGCTCTTCGGGCAGACTCTGCTGGGGTGTGTTGCTGAGGTGCCGATCTGAAGTAAAAGGCGGTGGTGTGTTATTCTGGGTCACAGCTGAGCATCTTTTCCCACAGGAGGCAGGCGGCGGGGAGGTCCTCTGGGCTTGCTACTACACGTCGGTCAGCGGTGGGGTCCTGCAGAGAAGGAGAAGGGGAAGAAAACGAGCTCACAGTCAGTAGAAACATCCTGAACCGCGGGCCTCGAGCTTTGGGCTTGGGGGGGGCTCCTCATCCTCTGTCGGATTCCCCAGGTGTCGTCCAATCAGCGGTTCAACTTACTTCTTAATTACAAGGGTGTGAATGAAAGCAGTTGATATAAGTAAGCTCTATCGGGGAGTGGGTGAGAAATGGATCTAGGGCTTCAGAGGATCCAGGTGGAAGATGTGTTGTCCTCTGTGTCTGTGAGGCTCTGGCAGAGGGGAATCTGACTTTTTTTTTATTTCTGGGGGGAAAAAAAAACAATGTGAACAATTTCAGACAGTACAACCACTTGGCACTTGGGTGGCAATTAGGAAGTGTTAATACACATGACCAGCTGAGCTGAGTCTGCCCCCCCGAGTCCTCATGTCAATTCATTTATACAGTGCCTTTGGAGGTGAAGATCCTTTACAAAGCACCGTAGGCAGAAATCAGACGGCATGGTAGCGCAGTGGTTAACTTTGCTGCCTTGCAATTCTGGACCCTGGGGGTGGAATTTTGTGTGGAGTTTGCATGTTCTCCCCTTGTTCACGTGGGTTACCTCCCACAAACCAAAGCCATGCTGGAGGGTTGATTGGCTTCTGGGAAAGCTAGTCCTGGTGCGAGTGTGTCTGTGCCTATACTCGTGTCTGTCTGCCATGTGATGCACTGGTGTCTCACACAGGGTGTACCCTGCCTTGTGCCTGTTGTTTGCTGGGATAGACTCTAGCTCACCCCTGACCCTGAGCTGCAAGAAAGGATTAAAAACTGGATGGATGTACATTGAAATCAGTTCATTTACAGCAGCGTAAGAAAACAGACTTGACTGTCTGCGGAGGTGTTTTGAATATTTTCCGTGATTCCCTTTTTGTTTTTTGTTTCCTGTAGTGGATTCTTTTTTTGTGTGCAAGCAATTCCCCGTCTGCCAATCTTTCCTATCCCCTATAGGGGGCGCTGTTGACAAAGCCTTGGCTTTCTCTCACCTTTTGCTCACTGACAGTCATCTCTCCACAGATACTCTTCTGCATTATCTGGAAAGAAACACGCACAGTGCACAGTGATCTGCAGACGGCAAGGCGAGCAGTGCCTGAAACGCAGAGATCAGAGCGGTGCGGCTCTTCTCTCTGGCCCTGCTCAAACTCACAAGGCAATGCACTGGGCCAAGATCAGATGAGTGCCATGGTCAGCCAGCAGCTCTATCAGCCTGGCTAACAGCTGGATGTGAGGTCTCCTGGGAAAGCTCAGGGCGCTCATTCTGTGGTCTGTGTGGGTGCAAGGGCCCCTGTATAGTGATGGGGACACGTTGATGTAAAACAGAAACAGCGCTGTCCTTCAGATGACACATAAGAGCGAGGTCCTGACTATCTGTGGGTGAAAAATCCCAGGGTGTTTCTCGAAAAGAGTAGGGGTGTTACCCCGGCGTCCTGGCCAAATTTCTCCCCTGGTCTTTACCAATCGTAGCCTCCTAATAATCCCCCTCTCTGAACTGGCTTCATCACTCTGCTCTCCTCCCCACTGAGAGCTGGTGTGTAGTCAGAGTACTGGCGCACTAAGGCTGCCATAGTCATTCAGGTGGGGCTACACACTGGTGGTGGTGTTGGGGATTCCCCATTACCTGTAAAACGTTTTGAGTGGAGTGTCCAGAAAAGTGTTATGTAAGTGTAAGGAATTATTATTGTAACGCATACGGCCGACATTACAGGTTGTGCGTGCCGGCTTGCCAGCACGGTGACATCACTGCCCTTCCCTGTGAGTAGCAGGGACCTCAGCTGCTGAGCTGACGGGAGATCTCCCTTTAGCTGAGCTGGCTGGTTCCCTGTTGAGTGACACTAGAGGCCTGGGTTTGAGTCCCCAGCAGTGGGGTGCTGAATTGAGGTGGCAGTGATACCCACATGAACCCAAAAGTGCTACAGTATTATTATTATTATTATTATTATTATTGCTGTTACTGTTGTTGTGGATAAGAGAACAAGTCAGTGTCTTTAGCAAATGCTCTGGCCTGAGTCAGAAACAGACTGACTGCTGTGACCACCTCTGGCTCCCCCTACTGGGCTGACCTGAAACTCCATTTGAGCCCAGGCAGAGTCTGTACCCTCATGCAATATGGCCAGCAATAACAAGGAAGGCAGATGAAGTAACAACAGCAGTACATAGGAAACACAGGTGAGTATTAAGCTTGCTTGTGTGGATGTGTGATGGTGTGTGTGGATGAGGTGTCGCTTCTCGAGAGGTCCTGAGAAGATCACATAGAACTGTAAGACCATAGCAAAGCGAATACAGAGGCCAGGATTTACAGTTAACAATACAGCATCAAAGACTAAAATGACCAAGTTCTCTTACCACAGTAAACGTTCCATTCACAAATGGGTGACAGCGGTGACGGTACTGACCTTCTTGCGCTCCTCTGGAATTTTGGTCACTTGCAGGCACCACAGCATCTTGGTCAGCGCAGCTTCAGAGGTGATGTCAAACCCAGACAGCACACCTGCCTTCTCCAGACCCTGAGGGATAGAAACAGAGGGGTGGACACAGGGACTGAGAGGGAGAATGTCACAATTGTAGTCCCTCCCCCTTAAGGGCGCTCCGGCTCTTTCACTTTTGAGTTGATTTTGTGCACCTGCTCCCCATTCCTGCCTCCCTATAAGAGCCAGACTGGGATCTCAAGCGTCTGGTCCCGTTCCCCCCTTTTCCCCCTGAGCCTCCACCGGATCCCACTCCGGTTTTTAATCCTGTTTGTCCTCGTCTCGGATGGACCGACCAGCTTTGGACTTTTTGCCTCGTCTTGGATTTCCCGTTGGATTCTGTTTTGGATTGTTTGCCCCGGACTCACCCCCCAGAACACCTGCGCACTATGGACACGCCCCCTGTTTTCATTCCCGACTCCTGCATGCTTTTTTCCCCGTGTTTTCCTCACTCATCCCAGGATTGTGTCGTCTTCACAGGGTCCTGAAAGAACGCTTCGTTACAGAGAAGTGTAACACAGCGATAGAGAAATAGAGGAAAGAGACACATGGACAAAGAGAGGAGTTAATAGAGAGAGAGTGACAGAGGACACAGAACTATGGACAAGGAGGGGAAGAATTAATACACACAAAGAAATAGAGGACACAGACACATGAGACACATGTAGAAAGGGGGAGGGGGGTTAATACTAAGAGAGAGAAACAGGAGGGTGGACACAGAATCCTGGTGGTGAAAGAGGAGTAAATGCACAGAGTACAGAGTAAGAAAAACAGACACAGGCCAAGGAACAGAGAGAGAAGATCAATACAGACACAGAGATTCGGGACAGGGCTGTTTACACAGACGCACTGTGAGAGAACACGGAGATTACATGGAGACAGAATCATGGACCAGCGGGGGATGGATAAAGACACAGGGACAGTGGAAGTTTGGACACTGAGACAGGGACAGTGAGAGAGAAGGGTTGACAAGGAAGCTGGTGAGAGACAGCTGGGAGTCGTACCGTTCCAGTCTCGTAGATGGGGCGCACGGAGCCCTTGTAGACCTGCGTGCAGTTGAGGATGAGGACCCCTCTGTCCGTCGCTGCTTTCAGGGCGTCGATGAACCAGTCATCGTCCGGGGCGTTCCCACTACCGTAAGTCTCCAGAATCACCCCTCCATCGCCAGCCAGCACACTTTTCACCTGCAGCGCAGACTGACTTACTCTACAGCACCTGGACTGTCCTACACTACAGTACACCCGTTCATCTTAACCCGCTATGAAAGATCTGTGTGAACTCGGGCTAAAGCAAGCAGAAATGATGGTTGATGACTCCTCTCATCCAGGATGCTGTTTTAAAAATTCACCTCGGGAAGATGCTACTGGTTGAGCAAAACAAAACTGGCACCAGAACAGTTTCTTGACCCTGCTTAAGCAGAACAAACGAACACGGGTGAGGTGTGTGTATATAACTGTGGACCTGTGCATGTTCTTTGAGTGAAGTGGTACATATATTATTGAAGTCTGTCAATAATACAGGACACAGGTGGTTTCCTGGATGAGAGGAGTCATCGACAATCATTTCTGCTCTCTTCTTTGGGAATTATTTAATATTATTGAAGTTGTTCGAGCAGGGAGCTGCCTGAGCTGCAAAGGAACAGGTAAAGGTTTATTCCATGTTGAAAGGAAAAGAAACTAAACACAAAGTTTCGGCAAGGAATAAACCATCACCTATTTATTATTATTATTATTTGCTGTTTTATAATGCATTGTGCACATTTTGAGAAAGTATTTTCTATTGTACTGTACATGACCCAAGAGAACAGCACAAATTGGTATCCCAATGTAGATGTACGTAAGGCCAATAAACTCCTCTCTCTCTCTTTCTACGTTTTTGCACCAAAACACCCTCGTGCATGTAGTGTGCTTGATAAATGAAGTGATTCTGAGGCTGACATTGTTCCACTCATGCCCAGTATTACTGTACAACACTGACGTCTGGAACAGTACTGGCTTAACACTAACGTCTTGCCCTCTAAACTGTGACACACCCACCTTCCAGCGCAATGACCCCAGAAAGTGACAGGAACGGGACAGCTCATGTCCTCCGTGTCATATAAACAGGGACTTGCATCTTCGATGGCACATGGGGAGTTATTTCCAGTATCGGGAGACAAATCCCAAACCGGAGTGCAACATCTGGACAGCAGGGACAGAGGGAGGATGCAGAGGGAATAACTTCTGGAAGAGGGACAACAATGTGGGACTCGAGCTCTGACACTCACATAGGACTTCTGGATCCCGGGGAACAGACGCAGGACCCTGACGTCGAAACTCTTGACCTTCAGAGGGGTGAGTGGCTGAGAAGATTCCCCGCAGTCCAATGGGGGGTTGGCATTTACTGTAACGCAGACACAAGATCCCAGAGGGAGAAGACCAGGGGTTGCCAGTGGAAGCACTCAGCTGCTGGTATAAGACAGCGTCGACCTGCACAGACCCTCGCTGACATCCCCCCATCTGTGTTCTAACCTCTTCTAACAATTCAATGACTGGGGGGTCACTGGAGCCTATCCTGGCCAGCCACAGGCACAAGACAGGGATCACCCTGGACAGGACGCTAGTCCAGCACAGGGCACACACACACAAAGACTCACAATCTCACACCAGGGCCAGTTTTCCCAAAAGCCAATTAACCCACCAGCCTGTCTTTGGACTGGGGGAGGAAATCGGGGCAGTTGGAGGAAACCCACATGAACATGGGGAGAACACGCAAAGTCCACACAGACAGCTCCCCAGGTCTGGCATTGAACCTGGGGCCCCAGCACTAAGAGGCAGCAAAGCCAACTGCTGTGCCCTTCGCTGATACTCCCCAAGGAAACGGACAATCTCTTTCTTTCCCGGGAGCATGGGGAGAGCAGTTTTGGAAACACTTCTCATGCTCCCTGAATAAACGTCACCACGACACCCCTGGTGTCTACTTCCTCAGTTTGTAAAGTAACTTATAAATGCCCAAAACACCACTTCCACCACAAACTCCAAAATGCTGATCTATTTGGCCGGACTAGATGGTACCCACTAGACCCTGAAGCAAACAGACAAATACACCTGCAAAGGAACAGATAAAAGGTTATTCCACGCTGAATAGAAGAGCTGTGGAGCCTTCTTCAGGTGTGAGGGAGAGAAGAAAACCGTCAGTAGATAAAGCAGGGGAGAACAGAAGCCGGGAGTGGAGAGGAGGCAGGAGCAGGAGAGGAGCAGAATCAACACAGACAGGGGGTGTGAAGTCGCGAGAGAGCTGAAGAGAGGAGTGAAGTCAAAACCTAATAATCCCCATCTCTGAACTGGCTTCATCACTCTGTTCTCCTCCCCACTGAGAGCTGGCATGTGACGAGAGCACTGGTGCATCATCCAGGTGGGGGCTGCACACTGGTGGTGGTAGTGGGATTCCCCATTACCTGTAAAGTGCTTTGAGTGGAGTGTCCAAAAAAGCGCTATATAAGTGTAAGCAATTATTAATTATTATTAATTAATTAAAAACCTGCAGATGAATAGAGAGGATTAGAAGGAAACGAGCCTGTCGTGGAGAGAAGGGGGAAGGTGTCGTCCTAGTTTCAGGATCATTTTGGTTTTTCCAAAAGCCACACGCCGGCAGGAAGAAACGGGCGAGCTCACCCTTGATGGTGACCCCCATCTCCACCAGGGGCTCGGCGTTCGGGGAGCTGAAGGCGTCGAAGGAATCACAGTCGTACTTGGTCACGCGGTTCCCTCTGAAGAGCTTGTGGTTGAACAACACGGACACCTGGGATTGGGCAGGGAAATCCATCTTGCCGACATCAATCAAGCAATCAAGGTTTATCAAGGCACGAACAGAACAGCATACAGCAGTGTTGTTGGCAAAGAAATGCTTTATCCGCAAGCTCGTTAAGAGTGACAGAAGAGTAGATGGACAGACGTTTATAGGGATTATGTTAAGATTAGGATACAATAAATTATACAATTGCAATTTACAATCCGTTTTACATATTGTGCGAAAGTAACACAAAGAGATATGGTAGGATATGAGGTATTTAGCACTGTTCATATGTGTCCTGAGAGTGCAAAGTGAGGGAAGGGTGGTATTCAAGTATTGAAGGTATTCCAGTACTGTAGGTTGCCATTCGCCAGCGGCTGTTTGGGTAACAGCAGGTGTCTGCTGTGGTCGGCTGTTTAGCAGTCTTATTGCCTGGGAGAAGAAGCTGTTTCGAAACCTGTTGGTCTTGGTCTGTATACTTCAGTATTGTTTTCTGGATGGTAGTGGAGAGAACAAGGTCCCTGAGGACAGACCTGGCCTTCTTGTTGGGTTCATCTAACAGAGTAGATATCCTCGATGTTCGGTAGCGCAGCCGGTAGTGTTTTGAGCCAGTTTCACCTCCCTCTGGAGTGCCTTGTGCTCTCGGGCGGAGCGGTGACCGTACCAGGCAGTGATGCAGCCGGTTAGGATGCTTTCAGTGGTGCACCTGTAGAAGTTGGAAAGGACGTGTGACGGCATGCCGAACTTCTTTAGTCTACGGAGAAAGAATAGGTGCTGCCGTGCTGTCTTGGCTACGAGATTGGTGTAGGTGGTCCAGGTTAGATCGTCTGTGATGCTGACGCCTAGGAATTTGAAACTATTGACCGTCTCCACTGCGGACCCACTGATGTGAATGGGTGCGTGGTCTGTTCCTCGACGCTTCCTGTAGCCCACGATCAACTCCTTAGTTTTGCTGATGTTCAGAGAGAGGTTGTTGTCCTGACACCATGCTGTCAGCGTTTCTACCTCCTCCCTGTACGCGGACTCATTACCGTTCGTGATCAAGCCGATGATCGTTGTATCGTCCGCAACCTCAATGCTGGAGTTTGTTTTGTTCCTGGCGACGCAGTCGTGGGTGAATAGAGTAGAGGAAAGGGCTGAGCACAGCCTTGATGCAGGTGTTCAGAATCAAGGTGGAATATGTATTTGTGCCTACTCTCAGCACCTGCGGTAGGCCAATCAGAAAGTCCAGGATCCAAATGCAGAGAGCGGAGATTAGTCCCAGGTCCCGGAGCTTGGTGATAAGCCTTGAGGGTACGATGGTGTTGAATGCTGAGCTGTTATCAACAAACAGCATTCTCACATACGTTCCTTTCTTATCCAGGTGTGAGAGGGCAGTGGCGATGGCATCTTCAGATGATCTGTTTCATCGGTATGCAAATTGCAGTGGGTCCAAGGTGTCAGGCAGTGAAGAGGTGATGTGTGCTTTGATCAGCCGCTCGAAGCATTTCATGATGACTGATGTGAGTGCAACAGGGCGGTGATAATTCAGACAGCTGACTCTGGTTTTCTTGGAGATCGGGACAATGGTGGTTTTCTTGAAGCAAGAGGTGATTGTGCATTGAGTATGGGAGAGATTAAACATGTCCCTGAAGATGTCTGCCAGTTTGACCTACACAGACCTCCAGGACATGACCAGGGATAGCGCTGGGGCCAGGAGCCTTGCGTGGATTAGTCTTTCTAAAGACTTTGTACAATTCAGCTTGGGAGAGACAGTGGGTATTCCCCCTGGTTTACTGGGATTTCCTTCGCTGGGTCTGTGTTATGAACTTTGAACCGTGCGTAAAATGAGTTTTGTTTCGTAGTCTGTGATGGTGCGGATCCCGATCCATATTCCGAGTGTCCCGGTGAGAGTGCGATTCCAGTTTTACCCTGTAGTTATATTCGGCTTTTCCGAGATCGGATCTGGATTTTCTGTATGTGTCCTTGTCTCCAGAGTTGAAGGCGGATGTCCTTGCTCTGAGTTTAGCTTGTACTTCGCCATTTACCCACGGTTTTTGATTTGGGTATGTGCGAACAGTGATCCTGGGGACAACATCTTCTATGCATTTGCTTATGTAGCCAGTAGTACTATTAGTCCAGGTTAATGTCATTCCCCGCAGCTTCGCGAAAAATCCGCCAGTCAGTGATGCCACAGCATGTACGGTAGACATATTTTGGCTCTTGTAGAGCACATTGTATTTAATGTTTCTGGAGAACGATTTATATCGTCTCATATTTCAACTACATGGAGAAGTACTGTATGTGATATACTATGAGAAACTATAAGCCTGCCAAATCTATCTAGTCAGTATTTAACTGGTAACCCTGCTTTGTGTTCAATGGGTTTGAAGACGTTGATACACACTTCAAACTCCATGTGGAGTATTAATATGTAGGTGGCGGAAGATCGGTGTGCCTGCTGGTTTTTTTTAGGTTCCATCTAAGCTCTTTGATAATCACTCTTGCCAGCAGATCTTGTTACTTGGTCGTCTGGCTTGTTGAGGCATTGTTGACCTTTTCTCTGCTCGCTAGAAAATTCAAACCCATGACTAAGTACGGGACTGGAACACAGACCGGGAGGACACCGGATGAAGCTGCAGAGATAGAAGCCACCTTCCACATTCCACAACACTGCAAGGCGTTGAGAACAGGATCCCATGTCAAGACGTGAGGACACTCTTTAAAGTGCAGTTTCTGTTCACTTAAATCATTTCTATCTTTTAGACTGGTTTACTCATTTTATGGATTTTATAGAGCTCAGACAAATAAGCACCATTTGCATTATTCTCGAAAAAGCCTTTGCATCGTCTAGGGTGAAAGATCAGAAGACGGACAGATGGGAAGAGTTTGTAGGGCATAGATTATGCCTCTCACCAGCTGCAGCGCGGGGTCCTGACAGTAGCAGCCGGCGATCATCAGTGCCCCCAGGATGTTGTCCACAGCATCACTGCGCGGCTCAAACAGAGACCTCTGTCCAGATCACACACAGACACACACACAGGACACAGTTAGTGAGCCAGACAGAAGTCCTGGCTCTGCAGTATTACTGACCTCACAGAGGAACCTGCTCCAAACTCCAGAATTACAGAACAGCAGTAACTTTTAACGGTCTTTCATTTTCAATTCATTCCAGAAATAACATATAAACACCAACGTGTTCCTCCATTAACAATTTCTCACTCACTGGAAGTCCGAGACTAGATGGGACTAGAAGTCCCCTACTATGTCCAACCTCCTTCTCAAAAATCCCTACAAACAAATATGCTCAAAATGCCTAGATAATATTGACAATGACCTTTGAACTCTGTTACAGTGAGAACTTGCAAGCAATTATCTTCAGTACTTCGAAGAGAAAAGGAGGCCTCGTACCTGGGCTCCTGTGACCACCACTGGCTTCTTCAGCCCCTGCAGCAGGAAGGACAGAGCGGAGGAGGTGTAGGCCAGAGTGTCCGTGCCGTGGAGGAGGACAAACCCATGATACTTACTTGCATTTTCCTAGAGGAGAGAAGACTCCTAGGAGAGTCCACCTAGGTAAGTACACACTCTGACACCTGCTACAGTACAGTGCATGAGGGGAGCAGTTTCTCTAGTCAGAGCAGTGCACAAGACAGAGACAGCAGTGACACTAGTAGTGTCTACAGTACAGTCAGGTGTGACAGTGTGTGTGTGTTCTGGTGAGTTCAGGGTGAGTGTGAGAGGAGAGGGACAGCAGTGACACTAGTAGTGTCTGCAATACAGTCAGGTGTGACAGTGTGTGTGCTGGTGAGTTCAGGGCAATATTTAGGCAATATCTAGCACAAATCACAGCTCAATTACTGATGAATCACTGCAACTGTGGACTTCCGGTTAGGATGTGGACAGGAATGGCAGCGTAATACAATTTTGTAATTAAAACAAAGTTTTTTGTTCATTACGTTTGAAAAATAATAACTATGGCTGAAGGGGCTGTCAGGAGAAGCAGGAGAAAACTACCAACCGTGGAAAATATCAGAACTGCCAGTTCTGACCGCAGTCAGAGCAGCTCAGCAAGTTCTGAGCAGGATGGCGCAGACGCCAGTCTTCAGAAAATATTATACGAACTTGGAGACTTCAGACGGGACAATAAACAGCGGCTTACAGATATTAAACAGGAGTTGAGCAAGGTTAATAAGAGACTGGATAAGGCAGAGGGATGGATCGAAGAAGTGGAAGCAAGGGTCTTAACAACAGAAACTGTGATAAAGAAACTCTTGCAACGGCAAACTACTTTGGAAACAAAATTAACAGACCAGGAAGGAAGATTGCACAGAGAAAACATTCGAATTTACAGAATTCCAGAAGAATCAGAGGGAAGTGCATGGTCACCCTCCTTGAAAATCTGCTGAGGGGGGAACTTGATTTACCGAAGGAGGTAGAACTGAGAATTGAAAGGGCGCATAGAGCGTTAGCGCTGAGGCCCAGAGGCCCTGACGCCAAACAGCGCTCCATTCTTAAGCTACAAAATGAAAGAGGAAGTGTTACATAAAGCTTGGCAAAGGAAAGAACTTTTCCATAATAACAAACGATTTTACGTGGATCATGATTTCCGCCCCCCCCCCCAACAGTACTCAAAAACCGTATGGAATATTCTGAGGTAAAAAAGATGCTGAAATCGCAGAAAATAACATTTCAGACTCCATTTCCAGCGAGGCTACAGGTGTTCTATGAAGGCGGCACCTGCCTATACCATTCGGCAGCAGAAGCCACAAAGGACATAGCAGAGCGGGGACTTAAAGTACGAGTTATACCGCCAGCGCCTGCACTGGAAGAAGAAATCGAGCGACTGTTTACTTGGCAGAAGGCTGGCAGACGAGGTGGCCCTTGAAAAGACCAGTCCTCGAAACAGCTAGGAGAAACTACAGAGTTTCAGGCAGGGATCCCCCTCGCAAGGTTGAAGAAAATGGATACAGTAAGTTGTTAAAAGTCGGCCGGGATTGAATTGTTTAGTTGTTTTGTTTTTTTTAATAAGTTTCCTGCGAGGTTTAAGAGAATTCATCAATGTCGGGATAGATATCTGGTGAACACGACTGGAGTGGCTTTTTTTATTTTTCTGGTTACCCTCGTTTTTCGTTTTATAATAAGTTTTGGAATTGCCATCACGCCGCCTGCTCAGGGGCCCTCCTCCAGAGGAGAAGGAAGACTTCCCTAACAGGCTTTCTTTTTTTTAAAGAGAAGCCCATACAGGGTTTGGTTGAAAAGAACCCCACAGCTGGAAGAAAGTACTGTGAACGAGACGGAGATGGACACAGTTTTGTTTGAGATTGTTTGGTTCATGTTTTTGTTTATTGTTTTGTTTTTGTTTGTTTGTGATCCATTATGAGAGAAAATTGATTCTATCACCTCAGTTATCCCTAAGGAGGGGAAAAATGGATAAGATTATGGATCGTTCAGACCAATCTCAGTCCTTAATGTGGATTATAAAATTTATACAGCAATACGGGCTAAATGAATTGAAAAGATTCTCCTTCATTTGATACACTATGATCAAACAGGGTTTATTCAAGATAGACAAACCCATGATAACATTTGACGCACATTGCATATCATGAACCATATACAGCAATATAATTTAGAAATGTCTTTGATGAGCCTAGATGCTGAGAAAGCTTTTGACTCTGTGAGGTGGAAATACCTCTACAGGGTCTTACGTACAGTAGGTTTGGTTTTTGTGAAAATATCAAAGCTATTCAAACCTTATATTAAAGACCAACGACACTAATTAAAATAGTTATCTGATAGTATAACTTTTGAACGAGGGACTAGACAAGGCTGCCCTTTGTCTCCATTGCTTTTTGCTCTCTATATAAAGCCACTAGCCCAGTGGATAAGGCAAAATAAAAGGTATTTCTATACAAGAGAATGAGCTCAAGATAGCACTATACGCAGATTGTTTTGTTATATCTGGAGGATCCCACTAGTTCATTTCTAGAAGTAATGAAACTCTTAGATAGCTTTGGCTATCTAAAAGTAGCAAAACACTACTACTAAGCAGCAAAACACTACCACTACTAAGCCTGGCTTGCTGGCAAACACCACCTTAAGTGGGACCAAAGTTCAATAAGATATCTACAGTAGGAGTCTATTTACCAAAATATATTTCTGCTTTAGCAACAATTAATTATGGACCCCCTTATAATAATTAAAGTAGATATATTGAAATGGAACCTAATCCCCTTTATGAGTTTCAGTTCTAGAACTGAATCTGTAAAAATGAATCTATTGCCTTGATTACTCTTCCTATTTCAAGCTCTCCCTGTAGAAGTCTCTGAAAAACAATTTTCAGAATGGGATAAGATGATTTCTTGGTTTATTTGGCAGGGGAGAAAACCTAGAACTAGATTCAAAACATTGCAACTTTCAAAAGATAAAGGGGGTATGGTTTTACCAAATGTGAAAGATTATTTTTATGCATCTCAAGTTAAACCTCTCATTAATTCTTGTAATCCAGAATATCAAGCCAGATGGAAAGATATTGAATTATCCCTCGTAAATAGCCCCCCCAATTCAGGCATTATTAGGTCATAGGAATTTAGACAAAATTACTGAAAAAATATTCAATCTATAGAAAAGGTTTCAACTAAGGACATGGAATACGATCACAAAAGAGTATAATTTAGGTGAGGCAGTAAAGATACTCAGATGGTGCTCCTATGATACAGAGTTTAAACCAAATAAATTGGATAATAGATTTAAAATTTGGATCACAAAAGGAATAACTGCATTTTGTAATATAATGGAGAAGAATCAGTTGCAAAGTTTTCAATATCTAAAGGAGAAACTTCTGAAGAGAGTTTTGCTGGAAAAACATTGTTCGATTTTTCATTACTCCGGGTCAGAAGGCGCACCATACTGAGGAAAACTCTAAGTGTTGGAGACAGTGTGGAAGCCAAGGTAATCATTGGCATATATTCTGGAACTGCCCTAAAATAAGGCTTTTCTGGAAGGAGTTGCATGAGAAACTATATTTGAAAGGAATGCACCCTTTACATTTGAGGCTTTATATTTTGGTAAACTGGATTTTGATTGGAGGGGAACTGATGAATACTTGTTCGGAATCCTTATATCAGCAGGGAAGTTAGCTAAAACAAAAAAAAGTGGATTCTCCCAGAATTACCAACAATGAATGGCTGGATTGAATATAAAAGGAAAAATATATAATGGAAAAAATAACATTTTCACTAAAATTCACCCAGCGCCTTACAATCATTCTGAAAAGTTAACAGTTTGTTAAAGGGGTTACCTGAATTTTGGAGGCGAATTTGTCCCAGAGCTCAGGAGTGATCTTGGAGGAGTCAATGGGCTTTTCCTCCTCCTCGACTTGGTAACGAACTTGAACCTTCCCAGGACACTCATTGGTGACCTTTTTCCTGTGTGGAGATGGTAGAGTGATGAAGATGATGATTATAACTTCTGTCTTCTCACCCTGCTGGAATAGACCGAGCGAGATGATGCTAATGAATCATTTACAAACCGTTCTTCAAAGGTGACCTCACTTTGTTGACCTCAACCAGGCTCACTGAGGTGGACACGGCACACACGATTTATGATATATGGCTGACAGCTCATCCTTCAGGTGGCCAGGTAATAGGATGCACTATGTTGGCATGCTGGAGGTTCAGTCCTGTTCTTCCTGGACTAATCTGTAGGACATCCTGTTTGACTATGCCAGTCTGTTTCATATGGTTCTCAAAACTGACAGATTCAGTTCAGGACTCCAGGCCAATCATGTTATTTCACTGATGAGCATTTGTGTAGGATTTTCGTGGTTTTATGTATTTATTTTTTCAGGCACGGTCAAGATGTTACAGTGCTTACTGGGTTTTCTATGTTTTTCGATGCGGCAGTGAATCAGGAATATAACATGAGTTATATTTGCATTTTCTGGTGTGCGTGGGAGTGCTATTCTAGTTCAAAGGGTCAGTATTGTTACTAATGGAGTGGTTATAAAAATAGAAATTCCCGAAAATACTGAAATCGATAATAAGAAATTAAAATAAATGATCCTAACAAAATTTGTAAAGACATGGCAAGGATATACCCGAGCGGTTGGTCTAATGAGAGGCACTTTAAATCTCAGGTCTCTGGCAGAGTTCTGGCAAAGAAGTAATAAATCAGGGAAATGGCGATAAACAAATATTTAATAACAATGGTACAACCTAATCAACATATAACATGCAAGTTACCCTATTTATAAACAAAACTCAGAGGCCTACGGCCTGACCAACCAGAAATACAGCAGACTGCTGCTGAGTATTCAGAAATTCTATCTGACACCTAAAAGGCCAACAAAAGAGATAAACCGGTGTACTAAATTATACAGACACAACCCAGAGCTAAATCTTTCTTCTTATAAATCCAGCTACTTCAAAGTGAATGGGACCCTATCTCTCTATTCTAAAAAATGCATACACCAACCAAGAGAGAACATTTTTAGCCCGAGAAATCCTTAAAAAAAGAAATCTGGGTTTCCTAAAATAACAGAATGGCAAGCTCTTGTAAAATAAGGTTCAGCTACAGTGTGGATTTTAAGGTTAATTCGAACATGGTCCTCTCGCCTGGCACACTACTCCTCCTCTCACCCTTGGTGTCTGCCTACCAGTCTTCTATCCTGGGTTTCTCACTGATGAAGACACTTAATGATTTATCAAGGAGTTGATTAGGGTAAACAAGAAGATTCATTTCAGTCTATGGTCTCTACAGATCTACAAACACCTCAGTCTTCTATCATCATATCAATGTTATGAGACATATAACTGAATCTTTCCTAATTCATATTTTAGAACACAACTACTGCAAGACTGCTCACTTGAAGCATTTGGTTTTGGTCTCGATTCTTTGGTTTGATTTTGGTCTGGCAGTGTGGGTCACAAAACACTTATGGGCTACCATTCCTCTCAGCTAGCCAGGTATGTGGAAATGGGTCTGTTTTTTTCATATTTCCTGAACTCAGTTTGCACTTAGTGTTTAAGCACTTGTTCTGTTGCTGTAGAGGCACTTAACATTTTTTTTTTTTACATTCTGTCTTCATCCTATTGATTATGCTATCCATTTGACATCCCTCATTTCAATCTCTCCTGCACTTCAAATTAATAGATTTTAAGAGCCTGATGGGATTATACCAACTGTTCCAAAAGGAACAAGATGTTATTCCTAGGATGTTAACAAAACTCTTCCTGGTGAGACAGAGCAAGGACCAGCTGACTGGACGATTAGAACTGCTTTATGCAGTGTCTATCCATGAAAAAATCCAAACCAATAACGGATCGATAATTTTTACATATCCCCCCTGCAAGCCCATAGAAACGAGTTTAAATTTGTTTCTCGAAGACTCGAAGATCATGCAATGGCAACTTGTGGGGTTAAATAGTATGTAGGGGATTGTTAATGGGTTAAATACCATGGATGTAAAACATCCATGTTTTTTTCTAACAAACTTTTTGAAAGCAATTTTGAACAACCAAATAATACCACAGTAAAATAAGGCACTTTTGAGAGTGATGATTTGAATCGCTCTTGCCACAATTCGTAAGCATGCTGATGTCATCTTACGGTAAAATAAACCAGCTCTTCTCCTCCTTTTCGAAGATTTCGGGATGTCTGCGGAATTCCTTGGAGAAGTCGCCTTTCTGTCCCGGCACATACCCTGGAACACAAGAACCATGCCCTTTGACCCCCTGGTTTTCAGTTCTCTGCTCTCCATCCACAGGACAGAGCGTGGGGAGGGGGCTGATTGGAAAGTCAACCCCCCTTCAGTCTTTACAAAGGGATCATCCGAGTGCCGGCAGTGAGGTGGCCTGGGATAACTCAGGGTCCAAAATGCAGACTTGGAAAGAAAGCAGAGCTGGACATACCAGTTGTTCTAACTAAATAAGAAACTCATCTGTTTTAGATGAGGGATGCAAGTTCTTTGGTCATGCCTGGATAACCGGATAAACTAAGAACGCCCAGCCGACAAGTGTGGGAGACCAGGAAACTAAATGAATCAGCTCTTGGTCTCTGGAAGTTGACCACGTGGACTGGCATGGTTATGTAATAAACCGGTTCTCGATGCTTCAGAATTCAGGTGGCTATTTCATTCCAACAATCTCTGCTGTGCAAGGAAAAAATTACACTAGATCACTTATTACCAAGTTACTGATTAGGCACACCGAGATCAAGGTTCCTCCATGTTTACACGTTTGTCATCAGGCACTGTTGGATTTAAACTTATGCTACAACACCACAGGCAAAAAAGGAAAATAACCGAATGGGGTCTGCTGCCAATGACGTCTTCATTCCCTCCTCCTCTTTCTTGGTCTTCTCGTCTTCTTCTCTTTTTAGGTAACCTGCCCTGCCTGCACCATTGCCTATCCATCACTGAGGTCATGTTTACAATGTGAGATACTGTCACACTCCCTCCCGCCAACACCGACTCTCCTCCTCCCGCACTGTCACACTCCCTC